ACTGCTCACACGTTAATTAACTGGAAAATTGTAGAAATTTAGGACCGCCAACGGAGCATAAGATGAGCCGATAATCTGCGGTTTCTTGTTCTCCGGGCCGTTTGGGAAACCGAGATGGTGACGACGTGACGTGGTTAATCGAAACCAGCTGCGCCAACCGGCAATATTATGCAAACCAACTGGACACGTGTCCACTAACGGAACCGACCACACGCAATCGCCTACAACCACAGCAAAATTAGGTCATATAACGTGTCCCTTTTAAACAAATTAAAATAAAACACGTAGTGGATGCCGAATCCTTTAAATCCATAGGCTCATTTAGGCATCAGATACAAAAAGTTCTTCTTCAAGAATTGTCCAATCAATAACAATAAAAAATATAAATAAAAATAATTTTTTTAATTTGCGTCTTTTGATATAAACAAAGAGTATTTTTTACAATAAATATGTATAAAAAATATAAAAATTAATTTTAATTTTAATATTAAATAAATTTAATTAAAAATTAATTTTTATTTTTAATATAAATTTATAATAAAAAACATATTTAATACACATTTAATTTATATTCAAAAGCATAAATAAATTTAAATAAAAAACTACTCGACCTATTTAATTAGACACGTGTCAGATTCTTAGTTTGATAGTTGAGTACGGTCCTTTCTTTTTTTATCAAAGAGAGCAAGATATTTGTAGGGTTGTACATTCAGGCGGGTAATCAAAGGGTTATCTGAAAACCAAATAACAAAAATGAATTAAATTTGGTGTAATAGTTTTTAAGTTTTACTATTTTAGTTTTGATATTAACTGAATAAATTTTGATTTTATTTTGATTGAATTTTTTACAAACTAAAAATTGAAATGAGTTTCTTGAAAATTAAAATTTTGATAAATATGATAAAATATGACATGAAATATAATCTATTATTAAAAAAAAAACTAACTAAGCTTTATTTGGTAAAAATCAAAATCAAATATATAATAACTAATTTTATTAGTTATCAAACCAATTAGTTGGTGAAAATTTTGGTTTGATTTTGATTTTTAAAATTGACGAAAATTTTTTTTGGTTAATTTAAAATCGGTTTCGGTTGAATTTTTGCCCACCCCAAGTTCTCATTTGTGAGGGCAAATATCAATTTTTTTTGTAATCTTTTTTGGTAAAAGCAAATCTCAATATTTTGTTGTTTAGAAATGAAAAGTGACAGTCCCTGATGTACGGTTGTGGCATCTGAAAAAACAAATCAAGATAGTAATATCAGCCAATCAAGATTGTAGTCTCAATATTATATTGTATTTTTTGTTTTATTAAATTATAATTTTACTCTTAAATTTTATATAAAATAATAATATTTTGAAATATATATATATCAATTTTCATTTTAAAGAATAATTAAAATCTTAATCATATATTATATCATTTTATTTAATTAAAATTTAATTTAAAATTTTAAGAGTTATCTTATTAAATATTAATACATTAAAATATATAATAAATTTTTAAATTTAAATATTAATATTTAATAATATAAAATTTTAATTTTTAAATATAAATTAAATTTTTTATTATTTTAAAAAATCAAAACTAATATATATTAATCTTTAATATTTTTATAACCTTAATACAATGTTGTATGACCATAATTGAGTCCAATGGAGTGAGGCGTAAGACTGGATGGAGACTACAAGGTCTAATGCAACAAATATCTCGCAATGTCTCAAAGTACTAAGGAAATCTAAAAGCCTCTAGTTTTCATTAGAAAGAATGTGATTTCTGATTACGCTTTAAAATTGGCACCCATTGTCTAGTGTTAGGCTTTTGGAAAGGTAACATAAGGTGTTTAAAATAAAAATAGAAGTATAAATGATTTGTTAGTTTGAATAAAAAGTTTTGATTTTTTAAAAATAAAATCTTGAATTTAAGTTTTGTGAATGAAGAAATAAGTGTTTATGAGAGTTTTTTTTTTAATGGGGTTCGATTCGATTCAATTTTAAATTAATTATGATCCAATATAATTATCAGAAACTTCATTTGATTGGTAAGAAAACTTAAAATTCTAGAAGATTTCATGCTCTTTTTATTTTGACTGCTTTCAACACAAACCTAACTGATTTTCATAGAAAAAGTTATAATTCATAATGTGAATATCAATTTTAATCAAAGTATATTAGTTTAATCAAACTACATTGTTAGAATATGATTCCTCTTCTTATTTTTTTATAATAATTAGTTATGATTTGGTTGAATTAACTTTATTTATATATCAATATTGAAAATAACTACTATAATTAATGATCAAATAACTAATGATTCTTTTGAAAGAGATGAAAACCTAAATTTCTATGGAGATTTTTCATTGATACCGAATGGAAGGGGTGCGTATCACTGAAAGGATCTCATTATAGAATGTCAACTACAATTTAAGATAAAAAAATTGTGCCTTTTTTTTTAAACAAAATATCTTCTTCTAAATCATTCTTTACAAATGATGATTCATTGAACCGACCAACCTAAATTCCTATCAATTTTCAGCTCTTCTAACAAATGATG